ATTTTGTTCGCTCGTCGGGAAAAGTCCTGAAAGTAACTTAGAGGTTTGATTTCATCTGAAAAACCACCTTACTTTTGGGCAAAAACCCTAAAAAACCTGAAATTTCCAACACGTTTTATATAAACACGATTTTCTTCTATTTCTACAAAAACCATTTAGAAACAATTATATTATAAATCGCTAATTAAACATAAATACAAATGATATTCTAATATACTTGCGGATGGATCCTCTAAGTGAATGACTAAGAATCCTTCAAAGGATTCAAAATTAAAATGATTTTTTACGATCTTATTAGATGAAGCCTTCAAAGTTACTCATAAACTCAAGGTTTTAAACCTTAGAGCCGAAAAATGACTGACTTACCGATTTTTGTAAAAAGCTCGAGAAAAAAAATCGAGTATGAAATATGAAATGTATGGAAAGATGAAATGTTGAAATGTATGAAAAGTTGAAATATATGACAAGATGGAGTGTTGAAATGTATGACAAGATGAAGTGTTGAAATGTATGAAAAGTTAAAATATGTGAAATGTATGAAAAGATGAAGTGTTGAAATCGATGAAACGCTGAAAAAATATGACATGCATCTGAGCCATTCATACACGGTCTAACTTTCAGCTTTACTTTTTCTCATGTTCATATATTTTACACACACAATTTTATCTTACACCTTATACGGACGTTCTGACAGCTTTGTTCTGTGCCATGGCTGTAGGTTCAACATCTAACTACAGACGCGTTTACTGGTGGAGTCAACAATACAGAGGCGCATTGCATTTAGTTGTTAATATCTGAATAGAAAAGAATTTGTATTAAACTTTGTGTTCGTACAGTTTTTATTCTCAATTTCAACAGCGGTGGTAAATAAATTAATAATAATAAATGTCATGCTATTATGTACGTGTTGACGCAAGGAGGAAAAGCGACGGAAAAAAATAAGCTGTTCGTTCTGTTCCATGACACCTCCAGGGGGTCAACTAGGATCTGTCACACATCTAAACAAAAAAGTAGTTGAACAAGCACGAAGCAGCTATTGCCACTCCCAAGCAATTCTAACTGATGACATTTCTAGCAAACGATATTGACAACTAAACCTTACCGATAGTCCTAAGCAAAACACCTGCTGAAACAGTCAATAAGCGACTATTGACACTGTCAAAGAGTTTTAGTTACAAACTTTTGACATAACAACCTGCTTTTAAACCTGCTTTATATATTAGATAAATTATTCCATCTAGTGCAACCAAATTTGAGGTTTGACTCAATTCCACTTGTGCCCGTAACATATTTATAATTTTAAACCGTAAAAAGAAACTGATGAAAGATAAATGCTAAAGGAATCTTTATTAGCATATTTGGCATATGGCTTATTATTAGTCGTGTGTGCATTCTTTATTGCAGGGAATACAAGCCCTACGTAGGGAATCAAGAATAGTGCACCGTAAAAAAGTTTGTATCTGGAAACAACGGTTTTTATTTGCCACACCTCCTTTTTGAAGCAGTTTCAAAATCTTACTTTCAGAAGCACTTTTAAAAGTATTATGCAGATTTATCACAGAGCTCCGCATGGACTGAACTGAGTCCCTAGTCCGGCCCATACGGGGCTCAAAAATCTTCAGTCCAGTCAGTCCACATGGACTGGACTAAAACCTTTTTGAGCTCATGAACTCGAACTGAACTGCACTCAAATTTTCAAGATTATAGACTAGTCTGGACTCGAAAAAATGCTTTGGATCCACTTAAATAGTGGAATAATAAGTAAAAAACATGTTGTGTTTGTGTTGCGAACTAGACTGGGCTACTTTTTTAGAGTCCATGGACTAAAAAAACTCTTCGTGGATCCGAACTGAACTGGACTAGATCTTTTGGTCCATGAACTAGACTGGACTCAGAATTTTGAATCTTTACTGAACTCTGTTAGGAGATTTCATTTTTTCTTGTATTTTACGCGAAAAAAATCTAGTTTTGATTCTTGGCTCCATCTAGCATGGTTTGAGAGATGTCGTCACAACAGCGACGAATTCAGAGCTGTTCGTAGCTGCAAGGTTTCTCAATAAAGAAAAGTTGTGGAGGGCTCGGGCTGGTCTTAAGTTGATGAAAATACATGTGGCTAGAGGCTAATTGAGCCGCAGTTTTGATATTTTAATTTTCAAATTAATGCTCAGCGTCAAAACTCTCATTAACTTGCATAAAGGTATTTTTCTAACCATAAATCTAGACCGAAAATCAAAAATCTGTCTATATTAGCTTCTAGCCACATGTGCCAGCTTCAACTTAAGACCTTCCCGAGCTCTCTGCGATGTCCCTTTAGTGAAAAATATCGCAGATACGAAATGGTATTAAGCTGGAAGTTGCTGTCGAGATATGGTGGCGCCAGTTTTATGACTTCCAGCAAAACTCTCATAATTCTTGATTAGAACATCATTCAGAGCTGGGAGTATACCAGTTTGTAGAAAATTGTTTGCTCTATAAGATGTGATAGCCTTTTAACTTCAACATTATTCTGATTACTCTGTATTAATCAAAAAGAAACTAGAAAAACCGTGATGCTGTGACACTTTTGACCGTTTTGTGTCACAGCCTCACGGTTTTTCTTTGATTAATACAGATTAATTGGAATAGTTTCGAGCTTGAAAATCTATCACATCTTGTAGGGCAACAATGTTCTACAAACTGGTATACCCGTTCAGTTTTCGCTTGCTCGTCGCCACTCTTTTAGACACGTTTTTCAGATAGCCTCCGGATCGATTTTTTGGGCTGTTTGTGCAATAGTTGTATTTTCATAACGAATCAATGTTCAGAGCCGAGACACTTTTCATTTTGTGGAGAAATGTTTAATCTACTTAATTATCTAGCTGTCGTTTTAGATTAGTTTGTAGCTTTCTTGCAATAATTTTTTGAAAATGAGCGAAAAGTGGGGACCGTTAGCTGGACAAGCCCTATATTCTACTATAGGAGAACTTCAGTTATAAAAGAAGAACGTTCATCCTCGTTCTAGCTAATAGTCAAATGTATTGTAAATTAGCTAAAGTCAGGTATTGTGAAGAAATTCAGGTATACAAGTTTCATCTGATATCTAAACTTTCTTCTGTTAAGCGGCAGCGGCCCACTCTCACTCCCCTCTTCTATATTGGTAGTAGTTATCTCTCACATGTATATAGCAGACAGCCTTAGGTTAGGTAGATGAAAATAAAATTCCTGTCAGAACAAAAAAAAATTCTCCTGGAGATAGACGTTCTATCTTCTTTGTTAACTAAAGTTCTCGTTTAAATCTATAAATCCAAATTTGTGGGCCTTCCCGAACTCTTCGTTCTTTTTAGATATGAAATTTTTTCGACCGGAGTAAAGTTCGAGTAGTTATTCGTACATTTCGTTTTTCTCGTGAATGAGAAGAGATGAAACCGTAGTTTTTTCAGGGTAGGTAGTACTCGATGTCTACCCTCTAATGACATACAAATATTACGTATACCTCACCCCTTACATTACAGCAAGATCGAAACGGAGCATCATGGAGCACTTTTGTGGGCGATCGATCTCGTTATTTCGAACTTACGTTGAAGTCGGACTACTTGCAGTAGATAGTACTCTTAGTGTACTATGTGAAATCACCGTCAAAAGTTTAGGACACGTATATTTGTTCCAGAAAGTTTTGCGACCAAAGTCGAAGTATACGACCAGCGTAAACATTCACTTTGAAGACTTTTTCTGTCTTAAAGAAAAACTACTTATTTTTCAAAAGAATGCCGTTGGAAGTACCCGTGAAATTCTCTACAAACTGAGCTGGTCAGAATATCTAGACAGGTGGGACCAGCCATTAAAGATATGCAAAAGAAGCATTTGGTTGTTATATACAGTGTGTCATAATCATAAGAACTCTTTTGTTTTTGAATTTTCAGCAAAAGCTGAGTAACCTAATTTGTTATTCATTTTTTAAGCTTTTTTCTCAATTTATTTAGTTCACCATTATTTCCACTATTTTTTCACGTATTGACATTAGTTTTGTATTGCTTTTTTCAATAAACATTTGTGCGATATCAGCTACATTAAAATCAAGATTTTGGATAGTGTGTTTTAATCTTTTGTTTCTTTCGAGTAGATATATTTGTGCATTATTAAATTACCGTTGAAGAAGTTTTTGTACATCTGACAAATCGGTCTCTTTTTCTACAATATCTTATTTTTCGTTGTTCTTATTACTTTGAGCAACATCGTGTAAAATTTTCTTTTGTTGCTCAAGGCATTTTTGATAATTAACAGACAAATTGGATACTGCTGATAAAAGTAATTTTAAAACAGGCACCTAGAAATTAAAAAATTAAAGCTTTAACACTAGGATAGTGCGCTTTAATTACTACAGTTATTATTAGTTTATGAGGTTGTCCATCACCATATAATCTCACAACTGAGCTTGTTGTGCGTAAACCATTGATAGTTTCGAAAACTGCTCGCGCATCCAGGCTTCAAACGTGCATCTGTATTGAACTGTTGCTTTTAACATAGGTTTCCTGGAGTCTGATCAGATCTCAAACTGTAGAAAACCGTTTTCTATAAGTTAAAATTCCTCCGAACTCTCTACGACTTTTAGTTTCGGAGTTATAGTCGAAACAAGGTGAGCAAAAAAAGTAACGCTGTGATATCTCTGCCATAGGAGTTGCGGGGGCTAGCCGTTGATGTCATTTCACGATCTGCTCTGTTCAAAAAATTGCTAAATTTTATGTTATACTATTTTTAGTAGTCTTCATTAGGATTTTTCTCGGCTGCTCTTCAATTTTGATGACCTATAGGTGGCGCTAATACGTAAAACATAAGAAAATTTTCATACCGAAAGACTATATGAGGATTATAGTAAATTATAGTAGTAGTAGTATAATAGGAATATACAATCCTTTCTGTTTTGAAAAGCCTAGTAGGACGATAAATTTATTTGTATAGCGCAGTAGTGACAAATACGCAAAAATATTCTTAATTAAAAGTAAAGTGATTAACCATTAACACTGTCATCTCCTTCGAAATAACATAAAACGTGACGTTTTTCTGGTTTCTTGTGACAATTGTGCCTGCTGATTAGTCACTTGATCATGAGCTGGTTCGTCAGCTGAAGAAAGACGCTGATATTAGTGAAAGGTGCTTACATCTGCAGAACAGACACAACACGAGACTTACGTCTACGTACTTGAATCGTAGAAACGACTTCCTTTAACTTGCACTGAGTCCTCTAAAGAGCCAAAACCCATCATACCGAGAAAAAGTAGTTCTTCAATAAGACCTTGTTTCTGTCTTCTTCTTGTGAGGAATATTGGATCAACCGCCTCGTGAAATTCTGACTCTTCGTCTACGCTGAAGCCATCTGTGAACCCATCATGACCATCTACCAATGAAGAGAATATTCTGACTCATATGAGCAACTTTTATTTAAACAGCGCCTACTTTCTGTTGGTATACGTGTTGGAGGAATCCGTCTTGCTGGCGTTCTTTTTGGTGTAGATGTTCGTTTGGTATTATCATAGTCCAATGTGTTTTCATCAACATAGAGATGATCATGTGATTTCGGATTTTTCTTGTCCGCGTCTAATGAACCACCTTGTAGGAAACCGTATGTTAAATCTTCCTTGGATACTGTCTACTTATTGCATCAATGAAATCGCGGCTTGTCCTTACCTTACCCTTATTCGAAAATGTTTTCCATGGATAGTATAGCTAGACAGGTGAAATTGTATATTCTTTTTTGATTATATTCAACAAATCTTACCTATCCTTAATCTGAACTGTTTTCTGTTATAAGTTTATCAGATTTATCACTTAATAAGCAAAAGTTGCACAGTGCCTCCAGCTACCATAAATGGAAGAGAAAGTCGGACAGTGATGATGATAAAGAAATGCATTTAACTACTAAAAGACCAGATAACTGCTCGATAAGCCTTACACTGTAAGATGATACTATGACTTGCTAATTTTCCGGGATCAATTATGTTATTCAAGAAAAAGCAATAGCTTTTTCCAGTATCAGTTGTGTTATTGTATAACTAATTAAAAATTATTAGGAAAACTGGGATTATTTGTGCATTTTTTCTCGAAAATTAGTAAACGCGATTAATTGTGCTTAGTTTCTAAGGAGGTAAGGCCCCCGACTGTCCAATCGCTTTTGACATATAACTTAGTGGACAATGGGTAACCCAGCATGCTGATTCCGAACATGAGGATGGTTTTTGCCAATGCATCTTTGGACACTCTGATTTTTGAAAAACTGGGTTTTCGCAATGAAAAACGTTTTTGATCAAAAATTTTTTTGCTCCGCACAAATAAAAGTGCATGCTCTAAAACCTACGCAAAACTATATTTTAAGGTTTTGGAACGGCTTTGAACACCTTTTAAAAGGTCAAAACTTAATACTACAGCCGAAAAACAACCTTTTACGTTCAAACTTTTAATTTCGCACGCTTCCAAAACCTTGCAAAATAGTTTTGCGTAGGTTTTAGAGCATGCGCTTTCACTTGCATGGATCAAAAACGTTTTTAATTGCGAAAAACCAGTTTTTCAAAAACCGGGGGCTCAAAAGATGCAGTGGCAAAAACCGTCATCATATTCGGAATCAGCATGCTGGGTTACCCATTATCCACTAAATTTTACTTCAAAAGCGATTTGACAGTCGGGGATCTTCCCTCGTGAGATCAAAAACCTAAGTGTTATACACATTTAATTAATCAAACATACATCTCGTAACCATATCTATATTAAACGGTTTCTTACATTCTGTCTCAATTACTGTACATATTTTTTCTCAAACAATAATATCGAGCTCTGATTATGACCATATACATCACAAATCACAAACTTTTCGAGATGCCCCTGACACATTGAAAAAACATCTCCATGAGACCTGTGTACGACCTATCTTTGAGTATGGAACAATTGTGATCAAAATTATGATCACCAGCGTCTAACTTAGGTAGAATTGACAATACATCAGACACGAATGAAGGACCAGACGTAACGATCAAACATGTTTCAGAAGCTGGTCGAGTCAGAAAAAGAAGTTGATTTAAATTACGAGATATATAACTGAACATGTTCAACGATCAATTCCTTCGGTCCATTAGACCATGGTTGAACTGAGCAAACTATAGTTTCGTCTTTGCTCATCATCGGTCAAATGATCACAAAAATTTTTTCTTCTCCTGTTAGGTACAGAAGAAAAAGAAGCACATGTCTAGAACACAAAAGAAAAATATAACACAGTCCATTATTAACTTGTACATGATATACCTTATGAAAAAATATTCAGTATAAAAGTATTCCCAGAATAAATATTCCTAATTTTCTTTTCACCCTGTATATCCATAAGTAAAGTTTTTCTTATCCCTCGTTCTATTCCGTGAGATTCAAAAGCAGCAGAGATTCAGTGTTTCAGTTTGTTCTATGAACAGTAGTTAGATCATGGTTAGGAATCCTTGAGAATCCAATACATTGAAAAGCATCTTTTGTTCTTGTTTTCGCTTTTCAGCTCGCGCTGTTTGTCCAATATAATTGTTTCTACATCCACAACAGCCATGTTCATACACTACCCTTCTTTCTTTTACCGTATTACCAAATGTTTTTCTAAAAACTGATGACAAGGTGTGTCCTGCCTTGAAACCAAAGGTTACCGCTTTCATTGGATGTGAAATCAGTTTTTTAAAGGGTTACTAAAACCAACGAACACACTCAATAATAAGGCATATAGAAGTAAAATTGTTTTTTATTTAGAGGAAGAAGGTTTCTTTTATTTTTATTATGATGCACACAGACATTCGTGGTTAATTTCGCAGTTTCTCGGCTGATTGCTCGTCCATTTCAAATATAGTCCAGTGTGCGTGGGCTTGCGATAAACAGAGGTAATTAGTTCATTACTTTTTCTCTCCACCATTACATCCAGGAACGTCCTGGAGTTTATCATCAGTTCCTGGATGTAATGGTGGAGATTAAAAGTAACTCATTATGTATAACATACGATTTATTTTTAGTCATTACACGTCATGTACCACAACAGTTTTGGATGATGACAATGATGGGAGTATGTTTTACATTGAAATTGAGAAATAAATTCGATTGTGAAAGCTTCTACTGTACCAAAAAAATGTCACTAGTAATCGCGCATTTTACCAATATTGTTTCCTGAAATGTAATTCAGTAAAGATAATAGCAATTGTATGCACACAATTATCACTGATTTTTTATTTGAAAAATCGAAGCTTTTGATTATAATCTGTAGCAATCATCAGCTATAGTTTACAATAAAAAACACAATCATAGATACATTCATTGGTTTGCACATTCTTATTTTTTCCCTTATTGCAAGCTATAGCTGATGATAATTACAGACCGTAATCGAAAGCTTCGGCTTCTCAAAATAAAAAATCCATGATTATTGCATGCATACGATTGCTATTAACAACAGTTATCGGAGAAGTGTATGTTCTCGGTCTAAGGACAGAAATTGACACAAGCGCATAAAAGGCTCTGAGAACTATGTTCTGTAACGGAATATCAAGTCCAAAATTGGGTGAGGCGGAGCCTCAATTGACGGAAATTAGGTGAGGCTCGAGCGTCACGAGTCTCAGTAGGTTCGCCGCCTACGTCCTTGATAAGTTTCTGAAATTATCAAATTCCTTGATGTTTAATTTTAATGAGCGCCCAATTATTTCTTCTATTTAAATAATCAACTCTTCGCAACATGTAACGGTGGTTGTCCTAATTTGTTCTCTTCAATAAAACAATGTAGGTTAAAATGATAACATTCTTATCTAAGTCAAGTTATTCAGAATAACTGATGTGGGATCAAAATGCTATCATGTGGAGGAAATCACTATGATGCATATTAATTTGTAAAAAACTACGAATAAATCGTCTTTATCAATGCATAATTAAACTGATCGCGCTGAGATACTTTGCATGATCATTACGATTATAAATGCAATTTACATTTTCTACGTCAAAGAAAAGCGACATTGAATAAGTCATGTACAGACTGTTTGCTCCATACAGTTATGTCATTTAGAAACAGATTTTGATTTGAATGATGACAATGATGGGAGTATGTTTTACATTAAGATTGAAAAACAAATTCGATTGTAAAAGCTTATACTGTACTAGAAAATGTTTCTAGTCGTAGTTTAAACAGTTCTGATCTCTTTAACAAGAGATTTATGAATAAAGTTCTTTAGTTTTGATGATTAGGATGAAAGACGCTGCATCGATTCTTCTTAGCTAAAACTGTGGAAAAAGCAGAGCTATAATAATAGCAGAAAGTCGTTTGAGTTAAGTCGTTGTTCGACTCTATTGTCAGCAGGTAAGACAACGAGCGTGAAGAAAATCATTTCAGCATTCTGCATTGAAAGAAATGTATAATGAATGAATGAACGAATTATGAGCTTGATGGAGAAAGTTTGAAGTAAGATCGTGGTATATCATTCATTTTTGTCAGAGATCTAGTCTTATTAGACAAGCATTTCAAAAGTCGTCGCTAGCAAGAAAGTCTTTTGCTTTTCTTACTAACCTGCACTTGCAATGTTCCAACGGAAAGAAAAGAAACGACGAACAAATGGGAAAATTAGACCTAATATTATGTTAGTAGTACGTGTAAACTTTTCTCCATTATAAGTTAACTTCTTCTGGTTTTGAAAAATCAAGAGAAACAGACAGAGTAAAATTACCACTATGAAAATTCTTACTAATCTCATGTACTGTTATGAGAAAAAGAGCCTATTTATACCACATAATAAAGTCGAAAAGGTTGTTCACCAAAACAAAATAAAACTGTCTTAGTTCTCCTTGTATAAAATGTTCTCTCTACCTTCTCCTTCTCTATAATGAAAGAAAAAAAAATGTCTTTAGTCTCTGTTGTACCATGGTCGAGCTTTTCTGGCTTTTTTTGCCAGAGTTACTTGCTCCACTGCTAATCTTTAAATAGCGGATGTATCAAACCAAGTTTCCACTTATCAGAAAAATTACCTTTGTGCAAAACCACCATCAGCTACCACTGGATCAGCTTCATAAGACTTTTGACATTATACCTTCGCTGGTAGCCTTATTTGGATTTATCTTAACAGATTTATCAACCTCCTGAATGAGTAGAATAAGAAGATGTAAATTGGAGCGAATTCATAAGCAACTTATTAGGGGGAATGGCTTTGGCTTAATCAATGATATTCATACTTCAGATATTGGCAACGTGAGCAGTTAGAATATCGTCTTTTGCACATCAGCTTTTTCATCTTTTAATGTAAGTTTAACTAACAAGTAGTGTACGACAGAACCGACTCTGAATAACTAAACTTCAGTTCTATGCAGTCAATTAATTTCT